ATAAATAAATAAATAAATAAATAAATAAATAAATAAATAAATAGCTGATTATGAAAATCAGTAGACTGCGGCTGTTTTTTTTTTCTATTGGTTCATCGACTATCAAAATCTGTTACTTTTTAACTAGCACGTGAACAACATTTTACTGTCAATTAAACTTCCAATGTTTTCAAAGGTCCACTGTCATGACGACCGTGAGAATAATCAACAAATCAGAGTACAAGTTCTTTTTGAATAATTTTAATATTTACATAGATAATTTATTTCAACGTTGAAAGAAATATAAAAACAAATACATATTACTTCAATATTCGCTATTTATTTAGCTTTTCCAGCTGTTATGAATTCAACAAAAGGAATTTGCGTTGTTGAAAGAGAGCGACATGCTCACTTGAAAAAGCTTGCATGTACTCTATCAATAAAAAACTAATCAAGCACATTGTTTGCAAAGGCGAATTACTGACAAAGAAAATTATTAAATAAAACAAGTGTTTTAAGACTTATAATGAATAAATGGTTAATTATTTTTTGTATTAATAAATCCGTCTCTTAATATTGGAAAGTTGAACTAAATGTAGGCTTTTTTATTTTTCGAAAACGTTTGCAACCAATTCATCAACTAGAAAGCATTATTCATAAGAGCCGTTGTTTTTTCAATCTTAAAAAAATTACATACCTTTTGCTTAATAAAATCATGTCTTCAATATAGTAAACACTTATTATTTATTGTTCTTCGAATTGAATAAGTCTTATGATGCTTTGGAGGCTTAAAATATCGTGTGTGTTTTTTTTGTTTTGTTTTTTTTGTTTTTCTTGCTTGCAAAAAAAGTACATTTGTCCTGATGTTTCATAACGCTGCGTCACACTTTCCACCGTTTCTAGAAAATATTACACACACTCACTCACTCACTCACCCTTTCATTCATTCAATATAAAGGACACAACTATTTCAGTTGAAATGTATAAAAACAGTATCCTCCTCCTCATGCAACTCCATATTCATTCGCCGGAAAGTAATTGGGATTCCTGTAATGAAATATAAACGACAGATAAGAACTGGGGAAGAGAGAGGGAGAGAAAGAAGAGAGACGGAGTAGTCTGCCAAAAACGGAAGGTTACGGACTAGTAAATTCACCTATGGGGACCTAAATCCCCTCCCCTCCCCCCATCAGACCCCATAGGATTTTTTTTTTAGTTTGAAAATACCTTACGGGTATCATATAACATTAGTGGTCTTGAGATTATATCTATTCATGAGCTCATCGACCAACCAGGGTTTCTTATTTGTACCACGTGCAGTAGTTT